GTGCACTTATCCAGTGCGCCACCGGGCCGGCCCAACATTCTATGTCTTGACAGAGATTTGGGTTGCATAGGTGTATGAATTTGTTAAAACAAGAGATCAATATCTGGTTATGGTTTTTTTCTTTTGATGTAAAAGTTACATATAATGACATGTACACTCCTCTTCTTTCCGGTGGCCATTCCGTGTAAGCATTATGTTTGCTAAGTTTTGACAAGTGCATAGTGACCACACCTCTGCTTCCCTTCATTGTCAGCAGGTAACCTTGTCTTCTAATTCACTGAGAAAACAGAAGCCATCGGTCATTCCCTCGACTCTCAGCACCAAACTTATAAGTGTGTCTACAGCTATATCTGTCTCTTCTGCCTTTCCTTCTGTTATAGTGGACATATCCTTACTTCCATCAAAGGCCAATTTCTTCCGTGGTTTTTACACCTATCTCCTCTAACCTTCTCAGAACGCTTGCTCTACTGGATTATCCCCCACAACCTGAAATCTCACCTCAAGGGATGAGCTTGTCTAGGTACTAATGCTGGATTCTCTAGTTCCTCAGAATCCTAACACATGCCATTTTCTCTTCATGGAACAACTTTCCTACTTCTTCTCCTTCACGTGTCATAACTCTACTCACCCTTCAGGTTTTTGATAAGATGCTATTTCTTCAGGTGTGCCTTCCCTGACCTTCCATCCCCATGTCATGATAGAACCTATTGAACTTTCTTTTTCATGACACTTGTCTCACTTGTAATTACTTGTTTTATGTATGTCTTGCCCACAAGACAAACATGGTCTCTGCCCTTTCAACATCTCATTAACTGCTATACCTGCAGTACTTGGCACAGTACCTGGCACGTTAAATATGTTAAATACTCGTTGCTGAACAAAATAATTAATTCGCATTCATTCATATCATCTGTAAAATGTAGTATTTTTTTTAAATGTCTTCATTTTCTTCATAGATTTTAGTTTTTTTCTTATAGCTTTTGCCATCTTTTTTAGAATTACATTAAATAAGAAGGGCATTGTGACATTTTTGTTCTTATAATTTCTTATAATTCTGCTTTTCTAATTTAAATGAATGTTTTGTACATAGAAAGAAGATTCTCAATGAGAACTATTTTATAGTCATAAGCATCCTATAATGTGGAAAGATTCTTGGAGACCCTGTATTTAAATTTCCTCAGATCATTCCTCAGAAAAAAGAAGAAAAACCAAAGTACTGTAGTATTTTTATGACTGCATTATTATTATCCTTTTACTCAGATGAATGTATCTTATGGCTAGAGACCACCAGTGGGGAGACAATCTGAGGATTCAGAGTTTATTTTATCTTTTAATTGTGAAGGAGGTTGATCATCTGTTGTTTTAGGCAAGTACACCTTATAAATAGCTCAGTTTTTCTGAGCAACCCTAAATTCATTCAGCACTCACTGAATCCCAACTAGGTCTGTGTTAGGCACTGGGGAGCTAACATTACATTAATTGCATATGTATGTAACATTCAAACATACATGTTAGTTTTTCTGAGCAACACTAAATTCATTCAGCACTCACTGAATCCCAACTAGGTCTGTGATAGGCACTGGGGAGCTAACATTACATTAATTGCATATGTATGTAACATTCAAACATACATGTACAATTTAAGTACACATGCATAACTATATATTACATTTGAGGAGGCAGAAGAGTTAACAAAACTAAATAAATGAGAGATCTCTATGTTTAAGTATAAATGTTTCTCTTTACAGTTTCTATTGTCATCCTTGATAAGTCTTGGCACAACATAGCTTCTTTCAGCAGGCCAAAATACAGTATCCACATAAATAAGTTACAGGCTTCACAGAGCAGCCTCATCTTGGAGTCTTACTCAAATAAAACCAGATGAACAACTTAGATGAACTGCAAAGACAATTCAAGTCTTTACTGAGGGCTCCTGAAGCATGACAAAGCAAATTTCTTAAAATTCTCTTTCCCTTTCCCAGCTGTGGATCTCAACACCAGTGCCCCAAACAGTAACCACCTCTACTCTCTTCCTTCACTTATGTGTAATTTAGCTTATATAGCTTTTAATATTTCTTCCTCACCCTGGAGTTGATCAGCAAGCAAGAACTCTTCAGGGAGGGGTTGTATGTGGAGGGTGTGTCTGAAGATATGCCCAGAAGCAATCTGCCATGCTAACCAAGTGTCCAGTTTCAAGACAGTCTCTGCCCTCAAGTAGCTAAGTAGCTAATGATCGGAGAGTAAAAGGAATGATCAATAAGTACGGTGGGAAAAGCAACATACCAGAGCATATAATTAGATGTTGGGTGGTGTTATACGCATTCTGGGTAAAAATAGGGGTTCTGAGATGGGCGAGATCAGCATGGAGTTGAGCCTAAAGGTGGGACTGGACCTGGATGATAAATTAACTAATCAATAAGTATTTGTGGCGCTTCCTAACACGGCTTCTTTCCGGTGGCCATTCCGTGTAAGCATTTTATGTATGCATTTTTCTGGGGCAAGACTCTATTATTTTCATCACAGTCTCATTCCTTTATAGTCATTACTCCCTTTATCTGGGTAACATAAGGAACAATCATATGGGCATATGAACAATCATAGTGGGCAGCTAAAAGCTCTTTGAACATCACTAAGAGGTGGTTTCGGATCCGGAAGAGGTCTCTGAGGTCCCTGAAGACTAAAACCCGCGTGTCCGTGGTCCCAAGGGGCCCGACACTCCTCCAGCTTCACAGTCCGGGGAGAGTGTGGTTCCGGACACCTGCTCCCGGGCAGCTCCACCGAGCCTCAGCCTATAGGCCAGCCCCGGTTCTTGTTACCCCGGCTCAGGCCATTTGTCGTCACTCCGCCCACCGCTCCTCTCTGCCTCCTCCCCCATCCTCCCCCTTCCGCATGCCGCCATTTCCGACTACGCCTCCCGCTTAGTTGGGCCCTCCTCGGCTTCCGTCCCAGATGATCCCCCCCCGAAGTTGCCACCGCCTCCTCCATCTCCCGGAGCTGGAGCCGCCTCCTCGGCCAGTGGCGTAGCCGACTCGGGGTCGGGGCCAGCCGGATAGGAGCGGAGGTCCAGAGGCCAGTCTGGACCCGAGCGGGGGGCCATGGAGAAAGCGGCCCGAGGCGCTCTTCACACCAACTAGCTCGGGCCCGTTGCGGCTACAGGCGCCATGGATCGAGCCCCCACAGACCAGGTACGCAGGCTCGGGCTGGGCCTGCCGGGCTGGGGATTGGGGGTCGCCGCTTCTTTCCAGGCCGGGCCCAGGACCCCGAGCGTCGGGCCCGAGCGGCCGGAGTCCTCGGGTTCCTTCCGGCACAAACACCCTTCGCCGGGGAGCCTGGCAGCGCCCCGCTTTCCTGTGTTGTTCCAGCTGCTGCCTCGGGCTTGGGGGCTTTTCCAGCCCTGGTTATCCTCGGACTGGGGGCTCGCCGTTGCCTCTCCTCCCCGGCTTGGTGAAAGGGGCCAGAGGCTCCAAGTTGTCCATGCTCTCCTCAGAGGAAGGTTTAAAACTTGCAACGAATTCCCCTCCTCCCCCCTTCCCTTCAGTTCTGGAATGTGTTTTCAAGGTGGAAAGGCCTTTGAAGGCTTCTTACCCATAAAGACAGAATGTGTTAGCTACAGATGAAGGGGGATCATGGGCCCAAAGATCTGCGTTCAACTGAACGAAGCATGGTTTTTGCAGTGGCTTTTGTGAGGTCTTATTTTAAAAGATGATACTACGGTTTCCCCTTGTCTTTCTATCCAGTTATTTTGCAGAAATTGTAATTAGTGTTTTTCAAAAATTGAGCTTATATTTTAAGGGTGTAGGAGCATGAGTTCATTTCCGAGCCCGTTTTCATATTCTCAAAGTAGTCCCATTAGTGTTCTATTTTGTTTTTAATTGCTTCAAATTCTTGATTATTTATGCTAGTAGGTACAGGGAGGCAGGGATAATGACAATATGAAGAATAATCTAAAATGATAGTTTTTTCCCCCAGTGTTTTCTATGTTAAGATCTCTACTACGAAACGGCTTAATTTGAAGTCTGTTTATTCACTCTTCAATCCCTCTTCAAAGCCATTGCCTCGTGATGAACTAGGCAGATAGATCAAGGAAGAGAGACTAGTGATTTGCCTATTAATTTTACAAATGGATAATTAGCACCGGAATAAATGAGCCAAGAGTTCCCAAATTCCTGTATATGTCTATGTGTAGTTAGAGCCAGTTTTGATTTTGAAGTCATACTTTTAACAGGAAAAGCACAGCTTCCTTCCTAATTGTGTATATTTGTTTCTACACAAACTTTAATTTTTTTTTTTTAAAAAAGCTTTACATTAATATAACTCTGAAAACACAAATGAGTTTTAAAAAACAATACGTGGAAATACCAAGCAAAACTGATGTGGAGCCTATATCCAATTTAATTTTTAAAAAAATTTTGAAGGTATGTATCAAAAATAGCTGACATTTCAAAGCCTGCCAAGTGAACAGGAAATTTCCTTGGACCATTTCCTTGTATGTGTATTACTAATGAAGGGGTTCAACATTTTGGTCCTTCATCCAGGTGCCGGAACTATAACCAGTAATGCTACCATGTGTATATTTATAGTTCCTTTCATCTTAGAAGAAATGTAATTAA